AACTCTTAACGAATCCAAGCTAATTTGCCCTAGCTTTTCAAAAATGGGAGAAGTCAGACATGATACAGATATTGTATTGATTTTTAAATAAGCTTCTTAAGCACATATATACCACAGCATAAACGTTTGCTATTTATCGTACTCTTAATTACACGGCCCGCGCGGACCACCTGGATACCAAGGAACCACATATTTCCAACTATTTTTCCATGAACACCCTGTTTAAAAATTATGTCATGTTAAAATCGCCAGGTCAGTCTTCTACGGGGACTTGCACTGTCCCTATGTCTCAATGATGCTCCTAGTGACCTCAGTCGGCGTAGAGGATCGTCACTATAGTCTCAGGGCCCATTGAACATCACCATGTTCCGCTGGACCATACTTGGAATTATAACAATGTGTATTATGATGTCCATCTGAAAGCCCTGAGTAGTGCTGAGGCAGTTTGTTGTAGGGGAAAAGTAAGTGTCCAGACAGTTACCTCTCAGATATCCCCCGGAAGTCGGTACTAAGGTTCTTCTCTCTTGTCTCTCACTTTTCCTCTTCAGCGTCTTTTGGAGTCCGTTTGTACTCACTCCTGGGTCTTCCTTTACTTGGTCTTGTTTATTCTCTGGTTCTTCTCAGGTCTCTCTTCTGCCAATTCTTTCTCTGGTCTTTTTTCTGGTCTATCTTAGGTCTTTCTATACTATCTCAGACCAGAGATACCGACCTTTCCAAAATTCTGGGAGTTTGAGCCACCCATTATAGCCGTAGCTGAAGTCCACGTTGTACGTAGATTCCTATGTAAAGTGGACCCCCCTTGGACAAATCTAAGAAAATGACGATATGACCCCGTCCTATGGAAACATGCAGTACCATATGTGCCCCCTGGAGTCATATACGCAGTTTCCCCGTCTTTACATCTAATATACTCAGTATGGCTTCAATTTTTTATATACCTTGGACTCTTACCCCCCCACATGGCCCAGGTTACCCACCAGTGCAAAGATTGTGCAGCTGGCAGCCCATTATATCCGTGAATAACATGGATACTGTATTATTTTGGATAGGTGGCTAGGATATTGTAACGATACAAAGTGTAATACCCAATACCCACCCCGATAGTGTAGCTCAGTAGCGTAGGAGTCTCGACGCGCCCACGTAGGATGAGTGGAAAACCGGGCAATAGAGAGCCAGAGAATCGATAAGTTTACTACAGCTGGATATAAACAGCCTAAGTGACATAAGTGTGTATGTGACGTGTTGCAAGTTTGAAGAATCACTCTGGTCCGAGTTTGTCCCCTCCTCTCACTTTGCAAGACCAGTCCGCTGCAGCAGCAAGAGAACATTCTCAGAGCATGTGAGTAAAGTATTAAATATTCATTGGACACAAGTGGATGTGATGGGAAATTTCCCAGCATAGTTAGAGAAGACATGTTCAGTAGACAAGACGTACCGCCCTTTGCGGTGCCGGCACCACATACACAGTGGTAGCTGTGGTTATTTGGTATTATACACAGGAGACAGAGGAATTTCCCGCGCTCTATTTTATCCAATAACGTGTATTTTGTTCATTCCTCATCCCATCCATCCTTTACTGTCCCTCCTGAAGGAAAAAAGGCTATGATTCCTTTGTGGAGTGGCGGAGATTCTTTCTGCGTTTGCATTTCTCACAATCCTCAGGGTAGTACCATACACTAACAAATTTTTTTAATACGGGCTTATTCTGCCCCATGTGCATTGTATACTTGTACATCGACCCTGCCCCTTCTAAATTACTAATCCATGTAGTCTTTGCAGTGATTTTTATTTTAATATATTTTATTTCTCATTTGTTGTTGCCCCTAGAGCCACCGCCAATCCCAGTTGTGCCCTTGTACTTTATAGGCACCAACCCATGATTATGCTTCTGATGTCTGCCATCTTTTTGCGTAGGACCCCTGCCCCCGGGCTATTGCCTCATCAGTTGAACAATACCCTGGTTTTTTATATCGAGATCGTTACAGCATCCCCCTTAAATACTCTCATAACCGATATATACCCTATGGCTCAAATTAAGTATGTTTCTGTAAATGGTTGTTTTGATAAACAGATAAAATTCACATAGTGTACTAGCGTACTATGCATGTATTTGTACAACTGGTATAACAATAAATCCAGATAAATGGCATTTACCATTCCTACACATCTGTCTTTTGTCGTGACTCAGACCCCACCTAAGGTAAGTTCCGATGGGGACAAAATATCCAAACAGTTGAAAAGCGAATGTCCATCGCTTGATAAGTCAAATTACTTTGGGGAAACCAAGTGCCTGCTAGTGACGGGCAACTTCCGGTCCCAAATCTTATAATTTAGGAGTTTCGGTGAGGGGGCGCGCCCCGGCGACCCTCTGAGGTGTTGTGGTTTTGGATCTGTTACGGCGGTGAACCGCGGGCAGGAGATGAGGGACTCCGTACGGTTCATCGCAAACCAACGAACGAGCCCGCTGTAGAGGGTCTATATTTTTATTTACACTATGCCTTCAGCGGGGTACGACAGAGCACACCCCTTCGAGAGTGAGCTGGCCATTGCGTGGAAAATATGAGATGGCAGGGGGGGTTCTTCGGACAGCGAAACCATTAGAACCTATAACTGGAATCCTGCCACTAAAAATGAAATACGCCATCCTATTGCCAGGCACAAACCGCTTTTATGGTACACTGTAACCCCTCAAACACCAAAATCTGAGAACGGTTCTCTCTCCCTTGTTAGCCCAACCGAGCTTTCACATGACATCTACTAGGGCAGTTTGACGTACAGCACCATTTTCAGTGACATTAATAAAAGTGGTTGTTACTCCCGTTCAAATACATTTTCTATCCCAAACACGCGGTGCTGTCCTTTTCATATATGTGAGACTTTCTGCTGAGACGCCATATTCCATCA